ATCTCGTACTTGGCTGCCTGGATGACAGAGACGAAAGCATTCGCCTACGCGCATTGGACCTTCTCTACGGAATGGTGAGTTCGAGTTAAAAGTGCATTCCGTCAGAACCATGTGACATTTACTCTATTTGTTTTTCACTCGGACAGATTTCGAAAAAGAACATAATGGAGATCGTTCGGAAATTACTCGAGCACCTAGCGAATGCTGAGGGCCCGATGTACAGGGATGAATTAGTGTCGAAAATAATACAGATATGTTCCAACGACAACTACCGTTATGTCGCGAACTTCGAATGGTAAGTATAAGCGAAGGTTCGAGCTGGCCAGCTCATTCACAATAGTCTTTCAAAGCTTGCCAGTTGTACATCCGTGTACAGTAGACAGTTTTATGCATGTTTACTTCTCTCTGTACTCAGAGTTATACAGTAAGACATAATATTTGTTTCTCGATGGCTTGAAGCGTTTAACTATGAAATTGTTACAACAGTTCAATCAACCTTTTAACTGCAACATTGAAATTTCGTTTCTTCACTCTGAATAAAAGTTTTCTAATCAAAACGACAGCTGTTACAGACGAAATTAGGAAACATATGATTAGAATCCTGCAAAAAAATGTTTAATTAGTGAAGCTGTCAAATCCACAACGGCGGTTTTCATCCTACAGTTCAAATTATTAGCATACAGAAGAGATATTATATTCACGAAGATCAGGAGGTAATATAATAAAAATGAAAAGCCAGTAAGAACTGAAAGATAAAAAGTCTGAAAAAAAGGATGAGAAAAAGGAAAAAGAGAATGAATAAATAAATAAAATCATAAATAAAATCACGCGAATGCTATGCACCATATCCGATTCTGAATCCGTTGTTCGAATTATACATGTTGTTTTTCGATTCATGGTTGAGAACATGAAATAGTACTTATGTTAGTTATTTAAAGCATCGCCAAGATGTGATATATCTTGATATGATAGACCGCAAGCCTCACCATACAGAATGTATCAGTTTAAAGGGGGCGGTAGATTAACAGCTGATCTAATCGGTATATTCATAAATACATAAATTTTAGGCTTTAATCTCAGCCATTCACTACGCCTTATGATGTTATTGATTGTACTCCAGTTTTCACCTATCACGAACGGGGGGGGTGGTGGTGTGGTGTTCGTGACACACGATGTTTCATCGCAAAATTATGTAACGATTTCCTTATGAAGAAGCCAAGTTTTGACCGGGTTTGCCATGTGCAGACAAATTGATCTGACTGAAGGATTGTCCCTAAAAATGAGCACGTTGCACAGTACCAGAGTACTAAACCTATCCAAATCGCACTGACGATAAGTATTCTGTAAATCGGATAGTAAATATTCGGTTGAACTTTCCAGCGTATGTATTATCTCAGTCGATGCTGTAAACCACACTCAATGACTCCTCCGGGTTGCTTAGGACATACCTCTTAAAATAAAGCATTCCTACACTCATACCTGTTTGTAGTGGGCCATACATCAATTTCAAAGGTATGGCTTGATTCAGTTGGATACCTGAGATGTCTGCTGCAGAATTACCATACCCCTGCTCTGGCACGATATTGAGTTTTAGCTGAAATGGAGTAAATCACTGACCAGTGCTTCCCTGTGTATCTGTGGTATGCTGTAGATATGTTATATGTTGTATATCTGTATATGTGTTCTTTTATGAGTACTTTAAAAAGTATTTTCTGTCACTAGTGTAAATCTTTCGAAATTGTTTACATTCCATTTGGTTAACAGCCAAGTTTTAAAGCTACTCTGAAGCCTTCATTATACAGAATCTTGATAGTTGTGATGTTCGAAGAGTGTAGACGGCATATAAAGTTTATTAAACTAAATCCCGACGTTTGGCATCGAACTGGATGCATCGTTAGGGAACATTTTTTAGCAACATTATATAGCATCAGTAATGCTGTGCATACTGTTGAATGATCTTAATGCTGCACTGACACGATCAACGAATTGTTTTTTCGGATTGCAGTTTAAACTGGCAAGTGTGTAGAATGTAAACGAGTTTTGTTCCTCCTCACCAAATCCTCCAGATTCATGACAAGTCCTTTTATTTGTTTCTGTTCAGACATTCGTAAGTTTGTGTCAAGCGCACTTCTGTAGGTTGCATCCTGTAGTTTTTCTGTACTATTTAATGGTAAGATCCTCTTTCGCCGCCTTTTCATTCAGTGGGAATTTATGATTTTTCTGTTTACAGTTCAGCGCTTGGTTTGTTTTTCTTTCCACGTCGTTTTTGATCATTTTTCTTCTCTTAGATCAGTATCGTTCCATCTTGTTAGGTACGAGAAAACATATGCAGCTTTATGTTTCTAACATATGCAGCTCTATGTTTCTAACATATGCAGCTTCTCAGTTGCTTCCATATATAAATCCAGTCTTGCTTCACTTCTGTGTTTCGGTCGATCTTTTTTTGCATCACTAAGCTGGTGTAAAGAGAAGCGTGGTTTCTTTCTTATAAGTGATGACATTCAATCCGGCCATATTTTGTAAAGACGAAGCTGAAATGCAAAATCTGTCGTGGTAATTAGAAATTGTGGTGAAGATCACGGTATCATCCAGCATGACCTCTTTCATCCAGTCCATAATCGTCACCTCCCATTTAACATCCATTTTTTTCGTTACTTCTGTCGTCATGTAGGTAAGGTTGAATTCAATATCATCTGTAGGAACGGCATCACCTAAGTCAAAATATTGACGAGTTATTTGAAATATTCCAGTGCACGAGCTTATCCTGATGTTTATTCAGTACCAGTTTGAGAAACAGTTTGTAATGGGCTCGAGGTGGCTGTAATGAATAAAATCATGCGATGTACGTCTCACTACAGGTGCTCATATTAAGGTACGAGGGAGACAGGGCCAGCTTAAATTCGGTCTCTGTCCTCCCAAGCAACAAGGAAAGGTTCATTCACTACGCCGTGAAATCTCGTCATAGAGTAGTTATGCCATTTTTGGTCAGCAAAGTTAAAATTTACAGTGTAGCTGTTATTATTGACATCCAATTATTATGACATTGATTTGCTTGACATAAGAATTTTACGGATGTTCGGTTCAAACTAATGACAGATAATTTCTAAAACCGATTTCATTTGTCTGTTTCGATTCAGTTTTTCTGCATACAGGGAATAGACATATGGTAAAGTCCTCAGTCCCTGAGGATGGTAGATGTATTATGACTGACACTTCGATAGCTTTAATAAAGTCTGTACCATGTGTCTGTGTCTTGTATCCACCGCAACCATTTTATTGTGTCATTCGTATAGCATATCCTTAAAATATTTTGTTATTTTAGGTACGTCAGCGTGCTTGTGGAGCTGACTCGTGTCGAGGGCACGAAACATGGTCCGGTGATTGCCGAACAGATGCTAGACGTCGCGGTGCGCGTTGTGTCTGTGCGTCACTTCATCGTGTCGCAGATGGCGTTCCTGATCGAAAACGCTCCCATTCTGCTGTCGAGCAGTACGCAAAACCGAAGCAACATTTCGGAGGTGCTGAGCGCTGCCGCCTACATCTGCGGAGAGTTTTCTGAGTAAGATGAC